CTGAAGTGTACAACCCCTCTACACACTCCCTGAAAGTTTTGGAACGTATCATAACAGGCACAACAGTCCAACATACTGCGAAGGAGTTGTAACGTGGCTTGCGTGGTTCTTTTTCACAGCATCGATCTACATTGATCTCGCAAATCGACGAGTCTTTGGTTTTGACACGACCGCCGGGCAACAAAGGAGTGGCTTCGTAAGAAGCATTTCAAGGTCCTGGAGTGGCCTAGCCAGTCTCCAGATCTCAACCCCATAGAAAATCTTTGGAGGGAGTTGAAAGTCTGTGTTGCCCAGCGACAGCCCCAAAACATCACTGCTCTAGAGGAGATCTGCATGGAGGAATGGGCCAAAATACCAGAAACAGTGTGTGAAAACCTTGTGAAGACTTACAGAAAACGTTTGACCTCTGTCATTGCCAACAAAGGGTATATAACAAAGTATTGAGATGAACTTTTGTCATTGACCAAATACTTATTTTCCACCATAATTTGCAAATAAAGTCTTTAAAAATCAGACAATATGATTTTCTGGATTTTTTTTTTCTTATTTTGTCTCTCATAGTTGAGGTATACCTAGGATGAACATTCCAGGCCTCTCATCTTTTTAAGTGGGAGAACTTGCACAATTGGTGGCTGACTAAATACTTTTTTGCCCCACTGTATGTGTCTCTCAAAGGCTGGAGCCGTAGAAATTGTAGTCTTTTATAGTCAATTTACTACATAGGTCACCACTAGGGGACAATATCTGGTGTTCTTTTCTTTGAATGTGTTTGTATTCACCAAAAGGTTAAAGTTAACTTTGGCTTTGTATTTGTTTTCCAGCGAGTATTAGCGGCTGTGATCGCTGCCTCTGTTGTGGGGCTCGCTGAGCTGTATGTGCTGGTCCGGACCATGGAGGGGGAACTAGGAGAACCATAGCCGCTATGCACACAGAACCAGGGACCTGTGTCAGAACTTAAAGCGGAACGTCGGCAGCCCCAACAGGCCGACTGATTCAGAACAGACATTTGACTTTGCCTAGGAAACCCTACAGACTTGTTTTCTTTTTATTTGACAGGAAAATATGTGAGATTTTTGTGCAAGGTCAGAGTTACTGAGAATTTAAAAATACATTTTCTAGAAGCAATAAATGGATGCTTCAACATTCCAAGAAAGCTAATTGGTTCAAAATTAATATTGGTCGCTTTATCTGACATTACATACCACCTGACCAGACTTTCTTTTCATTACATTTAAATATATTTATTTACAGCTCTTCTTCCATTTTAAATGTTCTTCATCCAACAACCTAAATATAAATGTTTATTTACTTAATGTACATTTTCAATTTTGTTCTCAGATCATGTAATCATATTTGTGTGTGTAAAAAAATCATCTGGATTAACTAGTTTATTCCTACAATTGGTAATCCACCAGTTAGTGTTGCCTTCCAGCGTTCACCCCGTGGGCCTGTGGTCGAGGACAGGTAAAATGCAGGCCGGGGGCCGCTGCTCAATCTGTAGGGCTTGGCTTGGGAACCAAAGGGTTGCCTTTCATGTCCCGATCGGATCAAAAATACATAGTCTTGACTGCTAGCTGCAGAGGTGCCAGTTCCTCTCCTGGGCGACGAAAAAACGAACAACCCCTTCGCTCTGTCACCTCTAAATCAGTGCATGTCACTACAATGGGCATATGTGTGTACAAAAACAGAGTAAAGAACTGAATTTCCCTCGGGGATTAATAAAGTGATCTTAATCTTAAAAACTCTTATCCTTTAGATTGTTTTTGTGTGAGTTGCAAAGTGTTGGTTTATTGAGCGTGGAGATTCTGCCTTGGAACCAGAAGGCCCTCGCCTTGTTGTTCTGAAGCTAAAATGACAATTGAAAAACTCAATGTATCTTTCCTGAATTCATGACCTAGTTACTTAAAATAATTGGCAGGCCTTTTTGTCAGCAATTTAATGCAGCACATTTTAGTTTCTATCATATTACTGCACAAAAATAATTGTGCATCTACTCTCTTCAGCGAGTTCACATTAAAGTTTGAGCAACCTGGTTATGATTTCTGGAAGAAGTCATTCCTGTTGAGTTTTTCATACGCAACAAGCTTAGTGACCGTGTTCCATTTGATTACAGAGAAGGCAGATATCTACAACACTTTACATCGTACATCAACTATGGACTATTAAATAGCACTACAGGTCAAAGAACATTTTTATTTTTGATGTAAACTGTCCTTTTAAGCCAGGGGTGTCAAACTCAAGGCTCGGGGGCCAAATCCGGCCCGCGACTTCACTTGGTGTGGCCCCACAAGAGCTTGCAAAGAATATAATATGTTTATTATACGGTTACATGCCGCTTACAGAAGCACATTGCCCATAAACTACATGTCCCACAATGCATCTCAAACTTTGACTTTTTTTTATCAGAATTTGACTGTTTTCTTCAAAATAAGCCTTTTTTCTTAGAATTTGGCTTTTCTTTTTAAATCATTTTGTGACATTCTCACCGAAGAGACTTGCAATTATTTTCCCCAGACTTCTGCTTTCAGACGTAGGCTAGTTAATTATGAAGTTATTACCCTTTCCGATAATAATCCGATGCAGAGGCAATAATGTAATATAATACATCATTTTATATTAAATCAAATCCAGATCTTCATCATCATCACCAGTGTCTAGACCCCGGGGGGTTCCCTATATGCTCAAACTGCTTTTTCCCCTTTAGATATACGATTTCAGGATCGGGGTATAATCACCAAAGACTTCACATTTATCATATGACATGTGTCAATAAATGTTCTTTAAACAAAATGAAGTCTCTCCTGATTCAAATGTATGTATGTCTTTATTGAACAAGGAGGACCATTCATAAAAATACACTTATCTCAAAAAGAGAGAAAATATCAATTATGCCAGATTTTTTCTTTGCACCATGGTGAAAAGTCTGAAACATTTGAGAACAGAAAGAGAGTTTGATTTGGACAGTATATTAGACTAATGGTGTTTAATGATTTATTTGAAACCTTGGCTTTTTTAAATGTTATGTTTTTGATATGGTCAAGTCAAATTGGTATCCAATATCCCTATTAAATATGAAATGAGCATTATTGTTCATTTTTAACATTCTAAAGAGTAGTTTTTCAAAAAAGTATTGACACAGTACAACAGAGCTGAGATGAGTACAAAAGCTCTTGAGTTCTTTTTTCTTTTCTTTTTTACTCTGACTGGTTTTGACCTCCATATAATCCACCAGCTGTGGCATCAGTTACTAATAATATTTACTAAACTGTTTTTGAATTATTTTATCATCTTACTCCACCTGACAGATGTGCTAATGTTTGTCTTTGATATGTGCTTACTGTTTTGAAGTGATTTAAAAAGCCATCCCATTCTTGAAAAACAAACGATTGCTGTGCTGCAGACACACAGAAGACTTAGCATCCTCAGGACAATAACACCATGTCTCTTATTTCTTACCACACATCCGATCTGATTTCTATGATCCATTCTCACCGTATGAAATCATATTTTTTTGGTAAACTTTCCCATCCTCCTCTGATCAAGTCCTGTTATATCAGTGGAAAGATTAAAATATGTCACTACATCTGGAACACACAAAAAAAGTATTTTCCGAAGATCTGAGATTTGACACCCGGATTAAAGGTTTATTGAAAGATTATTTGGTATTAAAGATGATTATGATATACAGAGATCTCTAGACAAACAGTGTGCACTGCTGTCCGTCATATTGGCCTCTGTATTATACCTCTCATGTAATATTTCAAAACTTAAATCCAGGCAGAATTACAGAGCCTGTAAGCTGATAGACCCTGAGCTTCGGCTTTAATTTCTTATTTTTCATTTGGTTCCCCTCCATCCATCTAATGCTCCCGATACTTACATTACAGAGAGATATGAGAAAAATATATTTTGATTTAGAAAATAATTATTCCTGTCATGGTATCTTAGCACAAGGAATCATTTTAATCAGGATGTTTTGAAAGATAATACTCGCGGGGTCGCAGCATTAAACATGCCATGGTTGGCTTACAGCAGGAAAACAGGAGCAGGCATCTGTGAGGAGAATCCATGTCAAGAACATTACATTTATTAAAAAAAATATCAAAATGAGACGAGAAAAATACTGAAACTAAGTCCTAGGCTTATGACTATAGACATATCTTACAGTGTCCTTTGGCTCCGTTTTCACAAAAAGAATTTCAATTTGCAAGACTGTGATCACAAAACTCTTAATTCCACAACTCCACATTGCAGCAAACGAAATAAGATATTACATTAGACAGTACATTTATTAGGGCATCACAACACTATGTGTGTGTGTATTATTATTTTTTATAAAACTGCTCTCAAACAGAATCCAGCTCTCATTAAAACATCAACTGTGGTTTCCTCCAGAGAACACAAATAGCAATTAGAAAAAGTGCAATTTCAATAAATGTCAGTATTTAAAGTATTATAGACTACAAATGACTTTTGAAAGCTTTCATTACATTTATCTGTTATGCTATCAGTATTACAAAAGGTATTGTTATCAATGGATAACATTGAGTCTAATTTGGGAATTTTGTATCTATTCATACAAGAAAAAACTAATACAATATTTCTGTGCTGAGTGACCAACGTTAGTATTGTTTGAGAGACCACACCATTGATGTTTCACCCCTTCACAAGTTTATCCCATAGATACATTAATACTGTAATGGCTGAATACATGCCAGCCCGGTCCCCTAAAAATTGTTTTCCCAACAATAAAACTACAGTGGTAATTTCCCTGACATGACATGTATTTTCTTCCAGGTAACGTTTTTTTTTTTGGCTTATCACAAATATGTTTTCTATCCAAGGCTTTAACTCAGGATACCACTGTGCGTAATATACTCAATGAACAGTATGTACGGAAATTGGGTTACATAACATTCAAATATACTTATTTTAACCCCAAAACATAATATTTTACTAAACATAACCACTTTCTTTTTTCAATTTACAACGTTTAACATGTGTTAAATCTTGAGAAAATGTTTCCCCTTGAAATGTAATTAAAAAGCAGTTTCAATTTTCCAGGGTTGAGCAATACCATCAAACAAAAGATCAACACAATAAAATTACACAGAAAAGGCAAGGCAAGGCAAAGCAAACAACAAAAGACATAGAACAAATACAGCATAAATACATTATTAAATGACATTTAAAAACAGGCATAAAAAGCAAAGATAATGAAATTAAATAAATAAATAAACACAGCAGGTACAGAATACATGACTAAAAGGCATACTGTAGTGTGAGTATGAGCAGCTCAATTAAAAGCAGCGGCAAATAGATGCGTTTTTAGTCTGGATTTGAAAATAGGAAGTGTTTCAGCGGACGTGCATGATTTAGGCAGTTTTTTCCAGATTGTTGGGGCATAATAACTAAAAGCTGCTTTTCCATGTTTAGTTGTTATTCTCGGAACAGAGAGCAGACCCGACCCAGAATACCTGAGACTCCTGTATGCTTCATAGTGATGGAGAAGGTCGTCTATATACCTCAGTCCTAAGCCATTTAGTGATTTAAAAACTAGCAGTAGTATTTTAAAATCAATTCTTTGGCAGACTGGAAGCCAGTGTAATGATCTCAGAACCGGAGTGATGTGATCCACCTTTCTAGTGTCAGTGAGGACTCGAGCAGCAGCTTTCTGAATCAGCTGCAGCTTTCTGATAGATTTTTTTAGTGAGCCCTGTGAATACACTATTGCAGTAGTCGAGTCAAGTTTTTCTAAATACTGTTGCGACATTAGTTTTTTAATCCTTGATATATTCTTCAGGTGGTAGTATGCAGACCTAATAACTGTTGTAATGTGACTGCTAAAATTCAGGTCTGAGTCCATCACTACACCCAGATTTCCTGCTTTGTGAGTTACTTTGTAGTCTGCCCACTGAAGCTCTGTGATTACTTTTAGTCGGTCCTTCTTTGGTCCAAAAACAATGATCTCAGTTTTTTGTTTGTTCAGTTGGAGAAAGTTCCGAGTCATCCAGTCAGTGATGTGCTCAATGCACTTGCTCAGTGTTCTAATCGGAGAACAGTCTCCCGGTGTAATTTTAAAATAAATCTGGGTGTCGTCTGCATAGATGTGATAGCTTAGATCGCTCTTTTTAATAATTTAAGCCAGCCATTTATTAGGGTTGATTTGTAATTGCCTATTGAGACAAAGTTTGTTCTGTCCTTCAAGTAAGACCTAAACCAGTTTAGAGCTGTTGCTGAAACTCCCACCCAGTTTTCAAGACGGTCTAGCAATATGTTGTGGTCAACAGTATCAAAGGCAGCGCTGAGATCTAATAATACTAACACTGATATTCTGCCACCGTCTGTGTTCAAATGGATGTCATTTAAGACCTTAACAAGAGAAGTCTCAGTGCTTTCGAAAGCCCGACTGAAACACATCAAAACCGTCAGTTAAAAACATGAAATTACTCAACTGTTGAAAAACTGCTTTTTCAATCACTTTGCTTAAAAATGGAAGGTTTGATATTGGCCTGTAGTTATTCATTATGGCTAGGTTATGCTTTTTTAGGAGCGGTTTAATTATTGCAGTTTTCAGGGCCTGTGGAGATACACCTGATTGAAGAGACTTGTTTACTATGTGTAGTATATCTGAGGCCAAGCAATGAAAAACAGTTTTGAAAAAAAATCCTGTCGGGATGATGTCGAGGCTACAGGAGGAGGATTTCAGATGTTGTCTTCCAAGGCAGAAGTAGTTCAGTCATTTGAATGAATTAAGTTCAAATAAGAAGAACGTTTTAAAAGTGTGTTACTTGTAATTCAGTGACTGTGCAAATGCTATAGCTTTCTGTAATCGAAGCATGGGACTGTTGACTGTTATAATGACAGCCATTTTGTGTCTAAAGGTAAGATAATGGCAACCATTTTGGCCATTTACATTGAAGGTTTAGCATGTTAAAACTTTGAAAACTGAGCCAGAAATATCTAAAAAACCGTCCAATTCTAACACATAATGTGTTTAAGGAACAATCTGGTAACACACACGACTGACGTATAGAAGGAAGCTGTTAGACAGGAAATAAAAGGAGTCTGACAGAAATACTATTTCCCTTTCTTTGTTCTTTAAACTTTGTTTTATTTTTTTTCATTTTTGTAAAAAACAGACAAACAGTGTGAACGTAGACAGGGTCATCATGGGTAACATGAAGTGCTTACTATCATGTAGAATGAAAGAAAACAATTTACATACGCACACACCT